GCTCATTCTTCGTGACCATTTCGCTAAAAATTCCATGAATATCGTTCTGCAATCACCGTAATTGCCGGACTGAGTACCATGTGACTTTTGGCTCTTCCAAAAACTCCAGAGACCACTTCGAGGACACCGTTTTGAGTCGATTGAGGAGACTTAACGTCAATCGGCGCTCTCTCTGAAGGCTATACCAGAATGTGACTACTTGACATGCTTCGATAATTGGATAAAGCGTTGGTATAAGTGCATTGCATCGACAGGGTACTATTTTGAAGGCGACGAAATCGATGTAGAAGAATAAATAAAGATTTTACAAACAAATTCAGCTTATTTTTTGCTCACAGTAGCACATTTATTAGTATTTAATATACATAATATATACATTTATGTAAGAATTAACCAGTTCTTTATTAATATTTATAAATTTTTTTTATTACTTTTTATTTTTGTTACTTTTGTTTGTGGCTTTTTTGCAAACAAAGCCTAATAAACGATTTAAATTAACAGTTAATATGCTCCTTTATCAATAAAATTGATTTTTTTTCACGTTTTGTGCATTATTTATTAGTACTAAAATGTAAATGAAAATTGTTAACGTTCCAACCGCAGACGGGGAAGCACCTAAATACTCTGTGATCGGCGGCATTTTACTCTACTCTAACCAGTTTTTATAAATATTCGCTTCTTTGCACACTTGTAAAAAACCTAAAAATATTACAATATGCATTTTTAACATTTTTTTAATTCAAAAAAAAAAAATTAAGAAAAAAAAGTTATACAAAAATTTGAAATTTTCAAAAAGTGCACAAAAGTCCAAAAGCTGCATTACAATGAAAAAGCAAAAGTGCGCAAAAAGTGTGTTGTTGGAATGTTGATCATTTGTTTCCATGTTTTGTTTATGGTTAAGGGAAGGCGATAATATTTATATATCTATGTTTCGTTGAGTTTAGCAGACCCTTGTTTTATGGACTTCTCGTTATCTTTAGTTAAAAAAGTATTAAATTTCGTTAAAATGTCAAATAGGTCTAGAGTGTCGAGAGCGTGAGAAATTTTCTTCTATCTTAATTTTAAGGATTTTACTTTTATTACAGTTTTTCTTTTTTTTTTGTACGCTTTCTAAAGCTTCGTTTTGGTTAAGCCAGCTAACTACTACACTGTACACTTTAAGCATTTTTTTTCGGTTTTTCTAAAATAAAATAAAATAAGTTACAACATCTTACATTGTTATGAGAATAACAACACAAAAAAATACCGTTAAAAAAATAATAAAAAAGAGAAAAAAAAAAAAAAAAATCCGATTATTCCATTTAGAGTTCAATTTACGTAATACGTGACATTAAAACGCATCAACGAAAGGTAGAAACAAGCCAGAGTTACAAAAATTAATGAGAGAAAAAGACAAAATAAATGCAATATACATATGTACATTATTTATAATGCGCACAGCAACACCAAACAAAGGGTAAATAAATGAAGAATATAATGTAATTAATGACAAAAAGAAATTAAAAAAAGAAAGCCGAAGTTGAAAAACCGAAAACAAATAAAGAACATAATAAAAAGTGCATTGATAAATAAAATTACAATTTTAAAAAGAGATTCAGAATAACTAATTATTAACAAAACGAAAAAATTTGCAATAAACAGAAAGAACACAAGAAAGAAAAAATCACCAGAAATTATGACGATAACAAAGCAAATTAAAACAATAATAAAAATTAAGACGGGAGATGCTAAAAATAAATAAACAAAAATATGGTAAAAAAAATTTCAAACACGAAAGAAGTGTTGTCTTCCCCCGCCGGGTCAAAGTCTTTATACAATACCTTTCATGTACACTGTTTTCCAATAAGAGGTGTTATTTTGATATCCAAAGACAAATTATATTTTTTGAGATAAAAGATTGGATTTTTATTTTAATGTAGAAACTAAGAACGGATGACAATATAAGCCAAATAGGCGGCACTTTTTATGAAATTTTCCAACACCAAGTCGCAAAGTGGCTGATTAGCTTCACGAAATACTTCTATGAGGTTTGAAATCGCCATTGGATGAGTTGGCGTAGTTCTTATCTTTCACGCGGCCTCAAAGGGAGAAGTCGCAAAGAGTTAGATGACAAGATATCGGTGGCCAATTGCGATCACCTCTTCGAGATAATAACACGGTCTGGAAACTTTTCTCTTAAAATATCGCTGGTTTCGTTGCTTGTTGAAAGTTAAAGTTGTACAGATCAATACAATCCAATTTCGGCCGTAAAAATCACTGATCATCTCCTCATATTGATCCAACCAGACTTTTGACGTTACACGTTGAGGATGAAGAAGCTTTTCAACAATATATCCAGATGCGACAGTTTTCCTTATTTACTTATCCAACGATGTAGAAATCGGTCTCATCAGTCAAGATGATTTTTCGATGAAATTTCGGTTCATTTCATGAAGCATTTCAATTACTCAATCAGCAAAAACATGACGTTGTTGATGATCGACCAGCTTGAGTTCTTGTATTAACTGGACTTCATAAGCCTTAAGACCTGTGTAATGACGTTTCTGGAATGCCCAATTCCAAAGAACGACGAGAACTATACTTTGGCCTACAGCAGTAATATTCTCAGTTATTCTTGAGCGACGTGCACATCATAAACTTGTCCCAACAGCATCACTCTTCTACCAATCTTTGTACTGCGGTCCGACAAGTTGTTGCACGACGACCGGCAAATGTTTTATTGTTACGAATCATCTCCGCCAGATTTTTACAATTTTTATAGTGAATTTTAATAATTAATATTGGAAAATCCTTAAAACGGGTATATAGGTATTTGATTTCGATGATTTTCAAAGTCAACCATGCCAGTTCATGCCAAATGTAAACCCATTGAAATAGGAATTTGAAAAATTTCAACCTAGCATTTGAGCAGTTGAGCAACTAACGAGTATCAAGCTGCTCACAATGATCGATACACAGGGATCTAGAATTCTACTACACCAAAAAAGATTGTCCGATCTGCCCGTTTCCCCAAAAAGATCAATACATTTTAAAGCACTTTTGCGTACCAAGTTTGTTTGAAAGCTAAGAGGCTAAAGAAACAGACGTCGGATGGACATGGCTTGCCATTTTGACAAAAATACTCTCACTCTCTCGAAAATTCTGAAACTCTTCATCTCTTGGGAGCACTCTCTTGGTCTCTCTGGAGAAGTTTTATAGTAAGAAAAAAAAATAACCCTGGGTCGAGCAAATACCGGCTTCGACTTTCAGAGTATTCTTAAATGAAACACCGTTGTAAGTTTATTATTATTTTTTTTCCTTTTTTTTTTTTGCTAACAAAGTGTTGTACAAATTAATAGTTTAGCTCAGACTTCCACAAAAATAAACAACACTCTCTGTTAATTTTAACATTCAAATTTATAGTGCTTGCTGAAAATTTATTGGATACTTAAATTTCGTTTTGGGAAGAAAATAGATGCGCTTCATTAACGACTAAGTGATACTCAGGTTTCAAAGTTCCTTCATTTGGCTGTGTCATTAGTTCATAAAAAATAATCGAGATACACATAAACTGTAATTTGAGAGAGTTTAATATAATGTTTTTGGTTCTGACTAGATTAGTTTTTGTGGTTCTCTCTCATCTCCTCCTCTTGGTACTTGTTAATGTAAGGTCTCTCCGGCTTGAGCTCACAGCTGTGGTCGATTTCGTTTTCCATTTCAATTGTCACTCGTGGCTATTTTCCGGTTTTAAGCGCAGTGTCGCATAAATAATTTTGACAACCGATAAAGGAAGCCGACAAGGACAAGGAAGCAAAGCAAAGAGCGCGGTAGGTTACTTTATAGTCTCTACAATGTGTGATATACACAACCAAAAGTAGTTAATTAACGAAAATGTTATGGTAAAAATAATATCGAATATATAAACCAATTAAAAATATATATATGTGAATGCAAAATAGTTTGACGTTCAGAGAGCAGGCTAGAATTTAAATATGATAGCAAGAGAAAGAAAGAGAGAGAGTGAGAGAGATTAGAAATTCGTGCCAAATCAGCAAGCTATTGCGCAAATGATCTATTTAGGCTTAAAAAATTTCGAGGCGTTAATTTTTATGTATACGGACAATGACCAAAGTAATTACAAATCACTGCTGATCAGATGATCAGCGTGCGCAATCCTCATTGTGTGATAATCAAATTAGAGTTAATTAATGTTGGCACTTTTCATTCTCCAAAAAAAAAAAAAATAAAAAAAAAAATTAAAACTCTTTCGTATTAGTTTTTTATTATCCAACCAATTTCGATAAAAAATAAAAGCGCTAATATCTTGAATACTTCACATTTGTAATTTCCGGCGACACAACGAAGCTCAGGCGAAGTGACAAATGATGATAATTTGGATGCTATGCATACGAGTAGGTACTACAAAAACCACTGTCACATTATACTAAAAAGTATGAAGGCTGATATTTATATTGGGCTATGCCATTTTGCTATTAAACGGTGAACGAAACGGATCATAAAATCAATCGACGCTTGACGCGATCAAAGACTCGCGACTATAACAAATTTGAGAACGTCAACGACGAGAGCAGCAAATAACGAACATATTGGCGTACGAAATCATACGCTCCACATAGACAAACATCAGTGATTAGTAGTGATGCGTTCGGATATCTATCACATTGTAAGTGTATATTTTTGCTTCGTTATACTGTGCGGGTGTTAAATGTCACAAAAAAAAAATCTACATATTCTTACTCGCATTACTGAAAGTGTCGTAAATTGTATAATTATGAGCTCATAGTTTGGTTGAAAGCTAAGAGAAAAGAAAAAAAAAAAGCAAAAACAAATTTTGTAATAAATATTTTTAGACATGCGCGACTACGTGATTTGTATGTATAAAAATTTAATTAATTTTCAATTTTAATTTAAATTTTTATTATAAAAAAATACCACGAAAACAACGTTGCAAAGTGTTTTACAAAGTTTTCTTTCTTTTTTTTTCTTTGTTTCGTTTCTAGAACCCCACAAATATGAATGAACGCGCCGGTGAAACGGTGCCAGATGTCCTGGTCACCAATAATCAATTGAATGGCAATGATGGTAATGCTGGCATTACCACACACCACAATGGCATCAATAGCACCTACACACCTCTTACAAATGGTTTAAATCACACTAGTACAGCAGGTATACCAGTACCCATGCCAATTGTGCCCAATGCAGAGATCTCCATTGTTAATACAGCGCCAATACCAATGTCGGGTAATCATTTAAATGGCATCGGCGGTGTTGGCACCTATAAGAATACCATTGTTATCGATGGTCAACCGAAACGTAAGGTTAGCATTGTATCGGATCCGGCGAGTGAGGCGCGTAATGTTGGCGCCTATGATAATCCAGCTTATGAACAAAATCCACATCGGAAAATATCACAGGTAAGTTTTTGGAATCATTTTAAAATTAGTTCAAATTGTAATTAATTAATTTTGATCAATGTTTATAATGCCATACATTATTTTATTATTATTTTTTATTGAAACACACACCCAATCCTTCATCGTTTTCTGGTACATATTTTACAAGAAAAAAATCTAAATATGGGAAATTCGCATACAATTTTATTTATGTACTATATTTTGTGTGCATTGTGCAGGTGCGGCAAGGTAATTTATTTATATTCTGTATTATACTCTATTTTTTGAAAATAATCAAATAAATTCAGTTTAAAATCGAATCTATACATTTATATATATATATATATATATATATATAATTATAGTATATCATGATTCCATAATTAAAGGTTGGATAAGTAGTAACAAGGGAGTTTTGACACTCCCTTACAAATGGTTGCATTTTGGAAAGTAGTAGAAAGGGGGAGAAAAGATGTTCCATTTAAAAAAAAAAACAGGGAAAAGGTAACAAAAAAGGAGTTAAAAAGTAAGAGAAATATTAAGTAATTTGAATGGTATTTATTTTATTTCAATAATTTTAAAACGAATTAAATAGCTTTGAAATTAAAATATATCCATATCTGCTAAATCATGTGTTTCTATAATATGAAAATTTATCGATGCATCGATGTGCATAATAATAAAATTATAGTAGTATCAGGTGTACAACTTTGCTTCCGCCGTTTTTTCCAAAATTAAAAGCTTTATTGCGAAAAAGTGCTTACAGATATATTATTCAAAATATTGTCCTTCGCTAGCGACAACTTTCTCCCATCTCTCCGGCAATTTTCGGATCCCGGCTCGAAGAAAAGAGTCCTCTTTTGACGCTATCCATGAAGCAATCCATTTTTCCAATTCTTCGAAGGATTGAAAATGTTGATCTGCCAGGCCGTGTGCCATCGAACGGAATAGGTGGAAGTCAGAAGGGGCGACATCTGGGGAATACGGCGGGTGGGGCAAGACTTCCCATTTCAGCGTTTCCAGGTACTTTTTGACCACTTTTGCGACGTGAGGCCGAGCATTGTCGTGTTGGAGGATGACTTTGTCATGTCGCTCTTGATATTGTGGCCGCTTTTCTTTTAGCGCGCGACTAAGGCGCATCAGTTGCGTTCGGTAGCGATCTCCTGTGATGGTTTCACCCGGTTTTAAGAGCTCGTAGTAAATCACACCGAGCTGATCCCACCAAATACAAATCATAACCTTGGCGCCGTGAATATTCGTTGAAACCACTCCCGACACGTTCTTTCACTCAGAGCAGCATCACCGTAAGTTTCTGAGAGCATTCGATGCGCTTCAGCTGCATTTTTTTTTCGAATTGTAACAGAAAAGTAAAACTTCCCGCAAATGGCGAGAATTAGGCACATAAACGGACATTTTCGAGCGTGAATAATACGAAAACAAGAACAACTGTCACTGAAACGGCGATGACAATTCGTTAGGCACTGTCCACACTCACTTTAAAGGCATTATCATCTATGTATTTCAACCAGCCTCAGCCGGTACAGCCACCTATCGGAAAACGGCGGAAGCAAAGTTGTACACCTGATAAAAGTACTTTTTATTGGTTAAATTAGAAAAATTTGCATAACATACATTTTTCCGAATAATTTAAAATATTACATATTTGCGAGTACACATCTATATTTAAAACAAGTTCGTTATAATATGTATGTATATACCAGTATACTACTTAGAACTAAAGGCAGAATTTCTTTAAAAGTTTCACATGAGTTATGATTATAAATGATTTTTTTATTATTATTTTTTATACATAATGTATTTCAATATAATTTACAAGGCAATGAGATCGTTTATGCTTTTAACAAATTTTTAAACCTTCTTTTGTTTTTAATATTTTTATTCAAATGCTTAATGAGTTGGTGCATGCGAGTCTTGAAAAAAAGTTTATTTACACCGTTCCTATTGTTAAATGTTCAGAACGAGAAAGAATATATTTTTATTCTTTCCTAATTCTAAATCTAAATCGAAAGGTTCGGGTTCAAATGCCGGTGCCACCAACATCCAAAAGTTACGGAAATTTTATTTAAACAAAAAAATTAAGTTACATTTTCTATTGCGGTCGGACAAACCGCAAAACCAAAAATCGGAGCAGGAGCTCGGCCGAAAATCGTTTCAGCGGTTACAAAGCGTCTATTATATATAATATAATTCTAAATTGCTATCGACCATCATTACGACTTTTGCAAAATAACGCATTTACAGTGTTACTCAAATACAAATTTACATACATTTATAAATGATTCATTGCAGAAGGATAAGCATGGTTTAAAAGAAATCACTCAAGTTCACATACTTCAGTAAAACTCTTATTTACATTCTGGACCCAAGTCCGAACATTCGACATTTATAATTTTATGGTAAAAGAATCGCCAAATCGGCAGCCGTTGCTTCAAGAGGGAGCGAGAAAGCTTTTAACTTATCCAACCTTTAATTATTGAATCATGGTTCGAAACGAAAGAAAATTTTCTAATCTATCGGATATACTTTTCGAAGCCTAAGAAGCTTTTTTCACCTATAGACGGCTGACGAATTATATTTATTTCGATAGTGCTCAGCAGTTTTGCTAAAGCCACATACAGTTTGTCAAGAAACTCTATACACACTGATTAACATAATTTTTTTTACTTTACGTGAAAAAATCATAAACTTCTGTTATGTTTAATGGATTTTTTTAAATGCAAAATAATAGTACAATATTTTTTCAGTTAATACGAAAAAACAACAAAAGGTCAGTTTACACATTTTTGACACTGTCAAGAAACTTTTTGCACAATCTACTATATTTTAATCTCAATTCATGTCTTATTATAATATCTTATTACTAATATAAATATTTAGTGTAACCCCCCTTAAGCATTTGCTATACGTTGGAGGCTTGGCAGGTCTTATTCCAATGGAATCTTGAGTATAACAGATTATAAGGCTTGTCGATTTTCGGGCTGCTTTTTCGATATTATTTTTCTTTAGATAAACCCACAAATTTTCAACGGGGTTGAGATCAAGGCCCTGAGGAGGCATATCGATGACTTTGCCGATTGCTTTGTGTAGAAGCCATGTCCGCACATTGAGCGCCTTATGCTTGGAGTCAATGTCCTGGCAGAATTTAAAATATAGCTTGTTGTTGGAAAAAAAGCCGAATTTCGACGCACTTGGCTTCAAATTTGCATCCAAAATTTGACAATACAGCACGGCACTCATGGTATTTTGTACAAATGCCTTGACTGGAGATGCAGCCCGAAATTATAACCGATAGTTTGTAAAATTATACAGTCGGAATGACGTTTTGCGGTTCGAGTGCGGTCAACGTGCCTACGTCACGTGCTTACGCCTTACTTTATTGTGTCTATTTGAAGTTAATCAATTGATTTACCACAACCCCCAATGGGGCAAATCGGTTCCACAATTGTCAGATATGTTCTCTGTATCACGGAAAACAGTTTACAATATCCTGAGTCGCGCGGAAAACGAGGGGAAAAGCTGATTGAAATCCGCAAATAACGGTAAGAACTCTTGCTTAGGAGCTTACGGAAGATTGTGAATTCGATGTTTCACACGAAACTATATGCCAAGTCAATCGGCGATCAAGAATTGGTGAAAAAAAAGCCTCAACTTTCTGTATTCAATGTAGAAAAGCGATTAACTTTCGCTGTAACCTTGGTAAATCATCCGGCAAAATATTGGGATGACTTCATATTCTGTGAGGAAACCAAAATGATGGCCCCACCAGACTATAGCGTAAGCACGTGACGTAATAATAATAATAATAATAATAATAATAATAATAATAATAATAATAATAATAATAATAATAATAATAATAATAATAATAATAATAATAATAATAATAATAATAATAATAATAATAATAATAATAATAATAATAATAATAATAATAATAATAATAATAATAATAATAATAATAATAATAATAATAATAATAATAATAATAATAATAATAATAATAATAATAATAATAATAATAATAATAATAATAATAATAATAATAATAATAATAATAATAATAATAATAATAATAATAATAATAATAATAATAATAATAATAATAATAATAATAATAATAATAATAATAATAATAATAATAATAATAATAATAATAATAATAATAATAATAATAATAATAATAATAATAATAATAATAATAATAATAATAATAATAATAATAATAATAATAATAATAATAATAATAATAATAATAATAATAATAATAATAATAATAATAATAATAATAATAATAATAATAATAATAATAATAATAATAATAATAATAATAATAATAATAATAATAATAATAATAATAATAATAATAATAATAATAATAATAATAATAATAATAATAATAATAATAATAATAATAATAATAATAATAATAATAATAATAATAATAATAATAATAATAATAATAATAATAATAATAATAATAATAATAATAATAATAATAATAATAATAATAATAATAATAATAATAATAATAATAATAGCAATAACAATAATAATAATAATAATAATAGTAATAATAATAATAATAATAATAATACTGGATAAAATAAATTAAATAGAATAAAATAAAAAATTAAATAAAAAATTAAATAAAATCAAGCAAGATATATAAAATAAAAAATATAAGATAATAAGATAAAATAAAATAAATTAAAAAAATTTGAAAAGTAAAAAATATAATAAAACAAAATAAATAAAATTAAAATAAGATAAAACAAATTTAATATAAATTAAAAAATAAAATAAACTTAAATAAAATAAAATGAAAGTAAAAAAAAAAATCTTTCATTGTGCAAATTGTTTCATGACATACTGTATGTACATATCTAATTTTTTTAATCTTCTTGTAACCTATAAAGTAATAAAATTTTCATAAATTTCAATAAAAACAAACAAACATATTCAGAAAGCCATAAAAAACAATAAAGTTTAAAGTAACAGTGGAATAATTTTTAATATTTCTAACAAAACAAAAACGTTTAGAAATTTCCAATGAGTGCACATACATATATATAATCGTATGTGTGTTTAATGCCATAAATTCCAACAATCCAATTGTTCAATTTACTACACTCTTATTGCCAACACGCTATTAAGCTCATATTATTCTGACATACCAATAACTGTTAACTGGCAAGTTAAAGTAAAGTTATCAACTAAATGTGATTGAGCGGCACTGAAATATGATTAGCGAGTTTAGATTTTTTATGCGGATCACAGATTACTGTGCAAACATTGTAAATCAAAATTTAATAATCAACGTTGATTGCTTTAAAAAATTTTGTTAAATTACCATATCAGTCATAATTTCTTTAAAAGAAGTAATTGGGCAGCATGGTTATAAATATTTGTTAATAGCAAAAAAAGAAAGAAAAACTCCTCCAGATGTTGTCACAAAATCTTGAATAAATGCAAGCCTTTCAATAAATCTTTAAATAAAGGGTGATTAATTTCGAGGTTCTCTACTTTCGCTCATTCGAGCCTTTCGACTGGTAACTGTCACGCGTGATATCGCCGAACAAAACTTAGCTCGAGAGCGTCTGATCTTCTTGAAACTTTACAAGGGTGCAGCGATGTACGCTTTCTATTTAAGATCGTTTAACAAATATGGACCCAATAATATAAAAAACTAAATTAAGTTTAAATTGAATTAATTTACTTTAGTTTAATTAACCAAAATAAAACAAAATTTACAACATTAAAAATAAAATAAAAAGAAAAATAAATTAAATTAAATCAAATAAAAGAAAATATACCAAAATAAGATAAATTGTTAGTAATAAAATAAAATGAAATTAATCAATAATAAAATGAAATAAAAGAAAATGAGATTAAAATAAAACAAAAATAAACAAAAAAAAATAAAATAAAATAAGTAAAGTGAAATAAAATAAATTACAATAATATTGTATAAAATAAAATAACATAAAATAAAATTTAAAAAACAAAAAACTAATAAATAAAATAAAATGAATGAAAATTAATTTAAGTAACATAAAACAAAAACAAATCAAATAGATAAAATAAAATTAAAAAATACAATAAAATAAAATAAACTAAAAAAACCAATTTAAATTAAATAACATAAATAAAAATTAGAATGCATTAAAATAAACTCAATTAATATAAAGTAAAATGAAATAAAGCAAAAACAAAATTAAGTAATAAAATATAAAACAAAGAAATTAAAAAGGAATTAAATTAATTGAAACAAAATATAAAATTAAGCGAATTAAAATAGAAGGAAATAAAAAATTTAAATGAACTTAGAAATAATTTAATTAAATTAATTTAAAATTAACAAAAAAAAAAAAAATAAACCAAATTAATTTAAAATTAATAAAAAAAAAAAAATAAAATAAAATAAAATAAAATAAAATAAGATAAAATAAAATAAAATAAAATAAAATGTAATAACTTAATGCAAAATGAAATAAGATAAAATAAGGAAGCAAATTGAAATTGGAAAATAGAAAATAAATTAAATGAAATTAACAGAAGATAAAACAAAATTAAATAAAAATATAACAAATAAAAATATTTAAATAAAATGAAATTTAAGATAAAAAACAATATAAATTATTATGAATAAATTAAATTAAAACAAATAAAATAAATATAAAAGTAAAATAAATAAAAATCAATTATATGGCAACTTATCAAAGGGTTATTCGTATTAAATTTTATATGTTAAAAAGTATTTTCCTAGGTTCTGCTACTAGCAGTTTAAAAACAGCATTTTGAATTATAATCTTTATATATTTCATTTTCAGACTTCAACGCATTCACACACAGAAATCGGACCTACTCGAAGAAAGAGTATTTTGGTTAATTCCAATTCCACAGCCACTTCTACGGCATTGTCACCTCCTCCGATTGGGCACGATAATGAATCCGATCGAGGATCACTACATAGTTATGGTGAGTTAAGAAAGTCGATAATTGAATTGTATGAGTAAAATAAAAGTTAATAGAAGCAATAAATTATTTATTACTCAGCTTTGAATGTTTATTAGTGCATAAAAAATACACAAAAGTTAATTTATTAAATTTGCAAAGATGCGTTCTTTGACTCATATTTTTTCACACTTCTCTCAATTTTGATCTTCAATACTAATAAAAAAAAAAAATTTGGCGCAGTAAGATCATTATCAATACAATTACCTTTAAAAAATTATAAAAATAAAAACACCACAACAACAAAAAAATCCACCAATATCATTTATCTGAATAAATATCACTGATTGACTAGCCACTTGACGCTTCCCGCTGCTGGAGGAGCACACTCAAGCAAATTCAATTATCTTTGTGCCAGAGTCACAGACAGTCAGTTTGTATGGCCAATGTGAAATTATAATATATATAATATATTAACACTTATTATTAAACATTTGACATTATTGTTGAATAAGCCGCACATGCTTATTGTTATTGTCTGTTGGGAACGACATTGGAAATAATTTGTGCCATTTTGTTTATATTGGTCAAGTAAAAAGTTCGTTCGGTTTTTTTTTATTCATTTTTCAAAATATAATAATTTTGTGTACAATTGTCTGATTTAAATCAAATATGCGCCGTTTTGTTCGTAAACTTGTTGCCAACTAGATGCCAACTTCATTATACACCTCTCGTTTAAGGCTGTGTCCCTATTGGCAAAAAACTTGGAGAGCCAATTTTCACAGGCCTCTCTTAAGGCCAACCTCTCACCATTAAGCGCGATCGCCATGGACAGGAAAAGATGGTAATCACTTGGTGCCAGGTCCGGACTATAAGGTGGGTGCATTAGTACCTCCCAACAGAGCTCCTGGAGCTTCTGGCGCGTCACCAAAAAAGTGTGTGGCCTGGCGTTGTCCTTATGGAACACAACTCGGCCTCTGTTGATCAAAGATGGCCTCTTCTGGATGAGTGCTGCCTTCAAGCAAGCCATTTGTTGGCAGTAGAGGGCCAAATTGAGCGTCTGGCCATAAGGGAGCAGCTCGTAGTAGATTATTCCTTGCCAATCCCACCAAACACACAGAAAAACCGATCTTAGCCACCGTCTGGGCCGCTTTCCCGAGCTTTGATCACGATCGTTTGAGCTCGATGTTATCGTAAGTGACCCATTTTTATCGCCAGTCACAATCCGCTTCAGAAACGGGTCGATTTTGTTGCGATTCAGCAGCGATTCGCAGATGGAATGCGTTAGTTCATGTGGCACCCAAACATCGAGCTTCTTTTTGAATCCAAGGTTGTGCAAATGGTTCTAAAGGGTTTTCCGGCTTATCTTTAGTTCGACAGCAATTAAATAAGTGCTCACGCGATGGTCGGTTTTTACTATTTCCATGATTTTATCGCGATTTTCGACGACTGGCCTCCCGACGCGTGGTGCATCTCTGACATCGAAATTACCGGAACCTAGCAAACCACTTTTGTTCTACACGTTCGCTTTGGCTGTTTTTACGCCTTGATCGAAGAAAAATCGTAAAATATAGCGAATTTTCTCTTTGGTGTCCATCTTTGACGAGCGCTCACAACGTACTGAGTCAATCAATCCAAAAACTGTCAAAGACAAACTTTTAGCGCAAATAAACACGTTTTATAATATGACATAATGTGACAGATAACACTAGTACTATGGACAATAACGCCATCTAAAAAAAAAAAATAAAAACCGGACGAACTTATTACTACACCTAATATTTGAATGGACGCAGAACTACATACATAAGTATATTTGTGAACAACAAATGCTCAACCGGCTTGCGATATTATAAGTAATATACATATATATCTACTAGCGGCCGTAACTGGGAAGTGATTAGCAGTGCGTACTACCATTCGAAAGATAGAGGGTTCGAGTGCTGATCCGATCAAGATCTAAAATTATTGAAAATTAATTACTATGCCTTTCATGAACAAAATATACATATTATATAACTTTGATCCAATGTATGTTAATATTAGCTGAAGTAGAGTTAGGCCCATCAAAATTTATACGGATCTGATGAGAAAGACGAGCTAACGAGCTAAATAGATTGAGTAATATGTGTTTGTCCGTCTGTCCGTCACAAACTTCAGCCAAACTTAATTAGTGGTCTAGTAAGAATCGTCCCCAAACAGCATTTAAGACCATAAAAGTTGGGTATACATATATAATACATAAATATTGGGTGTAGTAAAAAGAAATCCATTATTATTCCAATATATGGCGTTATTTATTTGTTTCTCGAGTTGTATAAGACTGATCGAGTTCTGCTAGACGGCGTTAGAAAGATAAGATTCCTTACTAAGAATTTTTTTCTGACAGTTTTATGATTGGTTGATTCAGTTTTGTTTGAGCTTGCGTCAAATATGGACACCAGTAAAGCGAAAATGCTCTATATTTTGCAGTTTTTCTTCGATAAGGACGAAAACGCAACCCAGGCGGCTGAAAATATGTATGGCATTTATGGTCCTGATACTGTTACAGTCAATCATGCACAATTTAGGTTTCATTCCGGGAATTTTGATGTAAAAGATGCGTCACTCCTAATAAATCGGAGGGCAAAAGTTGTAGGTCTCTTCATTCGTTCAAAGAAAAATCGAGACGCACACGACAAATGGCAGGAGGAGCTCGGCCTAAAATCGCTTCAGCGGTTATAAAGCGCCAATTATATTATATAAATACATATATATTTTCTACTGACAGCACGTGGCTTGTTGTTCTTATCCGCACGTATTTAATTATTGATTATAATTTGTAAAAAAAATTAAACATTTGCAAAATTAAAATAGGTCTTTCCTTTAGGTTTGGCGATTTTTGCAAATTAATGTGCTTGTTTGTTTATCAAATTTTTCCACGTTTATAGGAGGACTTTACAACAACAAATACAATATGTATGAAATATTTATCGATTACACATTAACTACTTCTAACTGCCAAAATAAATGCATATATGAGTATACANTTTTTTTTTTTTTTTTGTATCGCTAGGAAATTCACATGACATGCATGTGACTAATTAAATGTTTTAATTAAGTTAAATATTTAAGAATTAAACGACTTGAGTAAATAGCGTCATCACGTGAGCGTTTTTTCGTTTGATGGGAATATTTTTTTTTACATATTTATTTTATTATTCACATGAGCGAAGTACGCTTGCTGTTGTTTTACATATTCATTTTTCAAAAAAAAAAAAAAAAAAAAATTGTATTCAGTTAAATTTTTGCTCAAATTCAAAACAAAACAACCGATCGTTCTCAAATTTTCATATAATCTCATTAAATGGCTTCTTCATACTTTGAGCCATGTAATAAAATTTAAAATATAAAATTTTGAAATAAAAATTAGAAAATTATACTCAGCTCAGTTCTGCATTTCGACTCGACTCGAGATTTTCTCCATTTTACGAAACTCAAAATTTCTATATACGAGGTATGTTCAAAAAATATCGTGAATTTTGTGTTTTTTCAAAAATTATTTATTTATTCATGAGTATCTATTTTGTCCCCTTCAAAGTAATCCCCATGAGATATTACACACTTGTGCCAACGGTTTTTCCAATCTTCGAAGCACTTCAAAAAATCATTTTTTTTTTATCTTGTTCAGCTCCTCCTTCGATGCCGTCTTTATCTCGTCAATCGTAGCGTAACGTCGTCCTTTCATGGGCCTCTTCAGTTTAGGGAACAAGAAAAAGTCACAGGGGGCCAGATCTGGGGAATACGGTGGCTGCGGCATCATTAGTGTGTTGTTTTTGGCCAAAAAGTCGCGCACAAGCAACGATGTGTGAGCAGGGGCGTTATCGTGGTGCAAAAGCCAATTTTTGTTCTTCCACAAATCCGGGCGTTTCTGGCGGATTGCTTCGCGCAAATTGCGCATAACTTGCAGGTAATATTCCTTATTGACCGTTCTACCCTGTGGCAAGAACTCATGATGCACCACGCCCCTGCAATTAATTTTTTCGTCTGTTGTTGAAGTGCTCGGGCGTCCGGCACGCTCTTCGTCGTTCACATCTTCTCGGCCTTCTGAGAACATTTTGTACCACCGATAAACGTTGCTTCGGTCCAAGGTAGCTTCTCCGTATGCCACAGTCAACATTCGGAATGCATCCGCGCACTTAATTTCGTTTTTCACACAAAATTTGATACAGGTTCTTTGATCCATTTTTTTGAATAGGTAAAAATCGAAGACCATCCAAAACACGTGCAAGCAAAGCAGCTGTCAACAATTAAGTGAACATTCAAAATGGCCGAGCTTGTCGGCATAAGTGACAGACATGAGTACCAACATAACGCCACAAAAAAATCGAAATTCGATTATACGTAACCCGTGAAAATTCAAAATTCGCGATACTTTTTGAACACACCCCGTATTCCGATAGTGGTTACGTTTTCCTACTCTGTAATATAGTTGACGCAGCGGTACGATTTTAATGATTTGCTCAATTTTTTCAAAATATATAGCTCTTTTTCTTAGGGCAATATGAGGAAATTATTCTTTCCGAGAAGAGGATCAGTGGTCGAACTGTTTGATCGGACTAAAACCAACAAAAAATCTTACTAGACAAATTTAGTACCCAATTTGAAATATTTTTTTACGGTTTTGCATATTTTGCAATACAAAGAAGATAAACTCTTTCTTTCTGGCAGCACGAAAAAGTCAAACACGTTTAATATCAGACAGCTAGTATGGAGCTGACTGCGAAGAGAGAATTAAACTAGAAGGCGATTTTTTAAGAGCTATAGGAACGATTAAAAAAAAACACATGGTATATAATTAATATACATTATTTAATGTTTGAAGATTATTTCATGCAAATGTTGACCGTGACTGCGCCTCAAATGGTCCATCCGTCTAGTCCAATTCTGGTATACCCTTTCCAACACTTCGGCCAGGGTCTCACTCATAAATGTTTTAATGTTGTCCTCCAACGCGTCAATTGAAGCGGGCTTGTCTGTATAGA